ATGCCACGTCATTAAAAAAAAGTCTACATTGGATTAAAGAGTATCCACGTTGGATTAAAGAGTATCCACATTGGATTATTAACGGTATATAGTGTCACGTTAATTTTCTAGTGTCACGTTAATTTTCTAGTGCCACGTAGTGCATTTTGTAACGGAACCGTGACGGAACGTTAAAATATTGGGTTTTTCACGGGTTTTGAAAAGTTGAGGGTGTGAATAAGGAGGAAAAATATTGGAAGGTGTTGACCGTGAAAAACAATTAAGTGGAGGGTGCAAATAGACCCTTTGGCCTATTTTTTATTGGTTGGAGGAGTTTGAGCCATGTCAGATTCGGATTCTTGGCCTCATGACAGATCAGCACATGTGTTGGCAAGATAGGAGAGGTAAAGATAATTTTTTATGGAGTAATTATCTTCTTGATACAGAAAGGGATAATGGGAGCTGGAAAATAGGAAAAGATGCAGTTAAAAAGGGGGTTTTATCTGTTAAGTGTACAGGTGGTGAAATCTGAAAAGGGATTAGACTAGGTCAAAAGGTGAGGTGTCCCACTACTTCAAAAAACCACCCATGATTGAGTAACTGCAGAAAGTGGAAGTAATTGCCTGCACAAGAAGAACAAAAAGGAAATTTTGGAAAGGAGAATGGACGGCCAGCCCTACTCAAACAACTGCAAACTTTCATACTTTGATTTTCTCTGCAATCTGCTTCTAGAGTTCGAATTTCAGCACAGATTCCATTAGAATTAGGTTGTTTTTCATCATTCCAGTAGACAATTTAATTTATGTACTTGCTACATCAGTTTCACTTCATGCAATAAATTTCAACATTTCAAGTTTCTTCCAGGTACTATTCATTTTCTGTCTATAATTAATTTAGTGTTTATTTTAAGTAGCATTGCTTCAATGATTACTTGTGTGGCTTTCATGCTTCTTTCCAACTTCAAGTTCTTCAATTTGTTCACTGTTCACGTTTAATTTTGGTGTTAATTAGGGTTAAATTTATAATTCTGCAGTAATTTAACTTTCAAATTTGTCAATAGATAGCATTTTAATTTTACCATAAGCATGTCTAATTTAATTTGGGTACATTTATTTCTTGCAAACATAGTTTAAATTGCAGGTAATTTAGAATAATTAGGATTTGTTAATTTTAAGTCACGGTAGTGTCTTAAGTCCTTGGAGTTGTCTAAGGCAGATTTCGTAACCCATTTTGCAGGAAGGTATCCCTCCTTCTTGCAAATTGTCTGAAGGCGCAATTTCAATTTTAATCCAACGTTCTTCCCGCCATCTGCAAAGAGGTCGACCGTGAGGAAGGAGAGGGTCATTGGGAAAGTCCTCATTTCTTGCTTTCAGCAAAGTAAGTGGCACGTCCGCATCCAGATTTCAGACGTGCGAGGCCACTAGAGGATTTTTGAGGAAACAATCCTTTTTTGGCACGCCCAGTGGGACCTCACCATGTCTTACTTACAGTTTTCAGATTCGTTGTTCTTTTTTCCAAGAAAAAGTGCAATTATGCCACCAAAAAGAAACCTTGGGAAGGCTGCCCAAGCTTTACCAATTGGGCTTGGTGATGGCAGTCCAGCACACTCGGAAGGGGAGAATGAGCCAATCATTCCACCACCATTGTCACCAATACTTGGGGAGCATTCTTTTGTCAATCCTACTTTCAACAAGGATAGTGAATCTGGAGATGATGTTGCTCAATCTGGTGATTTCCTTGTGAAAGATATGTCAGATTAGATTAGCATCATGAGGCACACACTGTTGGAATATGAGGAGAAAGCTCGACAAAGAAGCCAAGAGGTTTCTAGACAGTTGTATGAGTCTTTTTAGAATCTGGCTCAGAATTTGGCTCAAAGTGTAGCCGACATGTGGTGATCCAATGAAGAAAGTAACAGAATCTGGCACGAGCAAAATGTAGAAGCAAAATGTAGAAAATTGGAGAGCTTTCCAAGTTGAAACGGAACGAATGCAAGAAGCATTTTGACGTGTCAGAATTGAGCCTCAGCCACAAGTAGCAGATCTTCAAAGGCAGAATCAGAATATTCCAGCTCCAGCACTAAGGGGGCAAGTTAATCTACCACAACCACCTCCCCAGATTCAGCAAGTAGCAGGCGGACCCGTGCAGCCAGATCCTGTTGAGGCAGCACCACATGCAGCAGAACTGGGAAATCACTAGCAGCCCAGATATCTGCCACCTCCGCGCCGATCAAATGGAGGACATCAACAACATAATGAACCTCCACAAAGGGAGCATTTCCAACCTTATGTGCCACCCGTGCAGCAAAATCTTCCAAATCTGCCAGGACAGTACATCAATCGTGATCAGATCATTGACATGGTGCAGGAGGCTTATGGTCTAGTTTTGAGGCCTTTTGTCAGACCTGCTTACAGAAAACCATATCCAAATTTCATAGACCAAGAGAATCCTTTTCCAAGGGGGTTCAAAGTTCCAGAATTCACTCTATTTTCTGGAGATGGTGGATATTCTATAATTGAACACGTAGGCCGCTTCACAATTCAGTGTGGCGAGGCCTCCGGTGATGATAATCTGAAGTTCAGACTTTTTCCCAGCTCATTAACTAGTACAGCTCTCACCTGATATCTAAGTCTGCCACAGAATTCAGTTTATACTTGGAGGCAGATGGAAGATCTTTTTCACATCCAGTTCTACCGCAGTGAGCCAGAAGTGTCCATGGCAGATTTATCTCGTCTGGTGCAGCGACCTGGAGAAACATCTGAGGCCTTTCTAGCCAAATTTCGGAAGACTAGACTTAAGTGTACAGTTGCCCTGCCAGAACAGGAATTTGTCAAGCTGGCAAAAAATGGCCTGGACATTGAATTGAGGAAAAAGTTTGAGGGAATGGAGTTTCGTGATTTCTTTGAGTTGCCTTACAAGGTAGCTCGTTATGAAAATCTATTGCGAGAGGACATACAAAGGAAATCTGCATCTCATGGGACTTATTATGGTGATGCTAACTTCGATCTGGACGTGGCAGAAGTGGTGGCAGACAAGCCAGTTGTTTGCCCAGATTTGGTTAAAGTGGCCTAATAGACCGACAAAACAGTAAAACGTTATGTCGGAGAGGCTGGAAAACAATACACCTTTGACATTTCAAAAACTAATGAAATTTTTTGACCACCTTAAAAAGAGTGGTCTAATTAAGTTGCCGCTAGGACATAAAATCCCAATGGCTGGCGAAATTGGAAATAGAGAATATTGCAAATATCACAATTCTTGGAAACATTCCACTAATGATTGTGTGATTTTTCGAAATGTTTTACAGGATAAAATCGACAAGGGAATTCTGCGTTTTCCAGATAAGGCCAAAGAAACTATGGGAGTTGATGCAGATCCATTCCTTACCATGTCTGTTGGGGTGAACGCGGCAGATCTCAGGAGCATTGCTAGGGACAGAACTCAGACATACTATAGGCGCAGACTTGCAACTGATGATCTGAGGTGGGTCATTGAGGAGGCAAGGGCTCGCAGAAATCAGGTCAGATCAGGCTCATACCGAAGGAGACAGCCCGAGGGGCATAACTCAACTCAACAGAAAAATAATGCAAATCAGGAAACTGCGATATCTGGACGCGTAGAAAAACCCAGAATGGTGAAACCACCACTTAGATCTCCAACCAAACGATGGGAACGTGTGGTGCATCCAAAATTTCCTAATGGTCAAAACTCAAGGACCTTGAGGAGGCATTTACAACGCAAAAGGGCTGCAGAAAGACTCCAACAGCAGATTACAGACTCGGGGGGCATGGCAGATCAAGCACAGCCGCTCCTAGTAAGAAAATCAGTGTGGGTTTGTAAAGAAAAAGGGAGCACATCTGGTCAAAATTCCAACATCACCTCGAGTTCTGGCTGTGGAATCCAATGAAGAAACTGATTTGAAGGTGAAGGTTGACATGTCAGATAAAGCGGAAAATTCATCAGATGTAATCTGTTTTGGTGAGTTTTTCATGAATCTATCTTGCTTGGTGATCACTCTTCCTTTGGTCTTTCAAGCAAAAGAGCAGTTAGAATCTGCTGTCTATCACCAGACAGATTTGACTGAAGAAGAAGAAGTCATTGAGATCCCAGCTAAGGAAGATGGTGGTATGGATTCAGCAGATAAAATCATTTTCGAAAAACCAGAAGAGAGAATGGCCAGACATATCAGGCCATTATACATTCATGCACATCTGGATGGTATGCCCATAAATCGAGTTCTGGTGGACAATGGAGCAGCTGTCAATGTTTTGCCAACTTGTATTCTGCACAAAATTGGCAAATCTTTGGGTGATTTAATGGAGACAAAAGTGACAATCTGTGAGTTTACTGGTGTAGTAAATCGCTCAAGGGGAATTCTGCCAATGGAACTTATCGTTGGAAATAGAACTCTCATGTGTGCATTCTTTGTGGTTGACACCATTGCCACTTATAATGCATTGCTTGGGAGAGATTGGATACATTCCAGCTGGTGTGTTCCTTCAACTTTGCATCAAAAATTAATATTCTGGAATAGTGGCAGAACTAAAGTTGTGACAGCAAATGACAAGCCATTTGTGGCAAGTACCAATGCAGTGGAAGCTCGTTATTATGATGAAGATATTGGGACTATCCGTTTCTTTGGGATGGATCGCTATGGCAGACCTTCTAGAATTACTGTCTACACCAGATCTGCAATGGACAGACAGACTGTGAAGGAGGTGTGTGATGAACTACTTCAGCCTACAGCAATTGTTCCTTTTAGGCCAAGGGAGGAACCTAAAATCGAAGAAATTCCATGAAGAAAGATAGAATTAAGCACCAGAAAAAGGAGGCCGTGGAAGAAATCAAGAGAAAGTTAGCGGCTTACCTTGCAAAAAAACGAATCTATGTAGACAGATCTGAAGTAGTCTATGAAGGTGAAGAGGAAGACTTGAAGGATCAAATAACACTGGAGGAATTAGCTCTGGCACCAGCAAAACTTGATGATTTGAAGGCAGAAGTACAAGATCCCTTGGATGAGGTAAATCTGGGTACTGAGGCAGATCCAAAAATTACTTTTATTAGCGGTTCTCTTGAGCCGTGTTTGCATGATAAAATTATCGATATTTTGCGTGAATACAAGGACTGTTTTGCTTGGGACTATTCTGAAATGCCAGGTCTGGACAGAAATCTGGTAGAGCACAGATTACCAATTAGAGCAGATTTCAAGCCTTTTAAACAGCCGCCTAGACGAATGTCTCCAGAAGTCACCTTAAAAGTTAAAGAAGAAATAGAGCGGCTGTTGAAGGTTGGTTTCATCAGAACTTCCAGATATGTGGAATGGTTATCTAATGTGGTTTCGGTGGTTAAAAAGAATGGCAAGCTGAGAATCTGTGTGGACTTTAGAAATCTAAATCTGGCAACACCAAAAGATGAATATCCTATGCCTATTGCAGATTTATTGGTGGATGGTGCAGCACGCCACCGAATTCTGTCATTCATGGATGGCCACAGTGGGTATAACTAGATTTTTATAGTAGAAGAAGACATTCCAAAGCCGCTTTCCGCTGCCCAGGAGCTATTGGTACGTATGAATGGGTAGTAATGCCATTTGGTTTAAAAAATGCGGGTGCAACTTATCAAAGAGCCATGAACGCCATCTTTCATGATATGATTGGTTGTTTTATGAAAATTTATATTGATGATGTGGTTGTGAAATCTAATGAAGATGAAGAACATCTGGAGCATTTAAAGCTGGCCTTCGAAGGAATGAGAAAGCATGGTCTGAAGATGAATCCTTTAAAATGTGCATTTGGCGTTTCTGCTGGAAATTTTTTGGGATATCTGGTGCATGAGCGAGGTCTGGAAGTGGATCTGAACAAGGCAAGAGCTGTTATTGAAGCATAGCCGCCAAGAAGTAAGAAGGAATTACAAAGATTCCTTGGGCAAGTAAATTTTCTGAGACGTTTTATCTCAAATCTGGCAGGAAAGACCAGAGTTTTTTCGCCACTGCTGAAACTGAAATCAGAAGCAGATTTCAAATGGGAGAGACACCATCAGACCGCCTTTGAGGAAATAAAGCATTATTTATCAAAGTCACCGGTCTTAGTGCCTCCTTTAAGAGGCAAACCTTTGATTTTGTACATATCTGCCGCAGACGAATCTGTAGGTTGTCTGGTGGCTCAAGAAAATAGTAAAAAGCAAAAACAAGCCGTTTATTATTTGAGTCGAAGTCTGTCACAGACCGAAGTGAAATATTCTTCAATCGAAAAATTGTCTTGCTTTGTTTTTTGCTGTAATAAAATTGAGGTATTATTTGCTTTATTCCAAGGTTTAGGTTATTTTGAAAACTGATGCGATAAAGTACATGTTGTCTCGACCATTGTTGCGAGGCAGAATTGGAAAATGGGTTCTAGCTCACAATTAATTTTGAAGCAATTAGAAGGTGAGTACAAGTGCACTAGTTTGTCTTTGGCACCTTATTTTGCTTTGGCAGTACAGCTTTTGGAGGAATTTGATGATGTAATCTTGAGGCATGTTACTCGAGATCTGAACACAGAAGCAAATGAGATGGCACAAATCGCTTCGGGCTTAAAAATCCCAGAAGGCATGATGCGCAGAATTGTTGTTGTGGAAAAACGAATTCTGCCATCTATTCACATGCGTGGTATGGCAATTTCTGCTTGTTCCATAGACATAACCCAGACAGATTGGCGTTATCCAATCATGGAATACCTCAAAAATCCAAATTTTAAGGCCTCAAGAAGAACAAAAATGCAGGCCTTGAATTATGTTTTGTTGGAAGGAGTTCTTTATAGAAGAGGACATGATGAATTACTTATGCGCTGTCTTGGTCCAGATGAGTACTGCCAGATTATGTCAGATGTGCATAATGGAATCTGTGGTGCACACCAAGCTGGAATTAAGATGAGATGGCTAATTCGCAGACATGGATTCTTTTGGCCATCAATCTTGAAAGATTGCATCAACTATGCTAAAGGTTGCAAAGCCTGCCAGATTCATGGACCATTGTAGAAAGTTCCAGCGTCAGAACTCCATCCAATCGTCAAACCATGGCCATTTCGAGGGTGGGCCATAGATTTGATTGGTAAAGTTTATCCTCCTTCAACTAGAGGGCATTCTTTTATTATTGTTGCCACATATTACTTTATTAAGTGGGTGGAAGCAAAGCCAATGAAGAAGGTTGATCAAACCGATATTATTAAATTTCTTAAGGAAGAAATTATTCACAGATTCGGTTTGCCAGAAACAATGACTTCAGATTAGGGGACAGTTTTTGTTGGTGCACAAGTTGAAGCGTTTGCAAAAGAAATGGGATTTAGGTTACTCACTTCAACCCCTCATTATGCTCAAACCAATGGTCAAGCTGAAGCTTCCAACAGAATTGTGATAAATCTGCTGGAAAAAATGGTTGACGATAATCCAAGGTGTTGGCATGAGCTGTTATCTGACACAATCTGGGCTTACAGAACTTCACAAAGGAGTTCTACCAAGGTAACTCCATTCTCTTTAACTTATGGACATGATGCTGTTCTGCCCATGGAGTTATCTGCTAGATCATTGCGTTAGCAATTCAACATGGTCTCACTTTTGGAGAATATAATGAAGCAATGATTCTAGAGTTAGAAGACCTTGAAGGTATGCGATTGACGGCCTTAGATAGGCTGCAAACGCAGAAATTAAAAGTAGCTCGAGCTTACAACAAACAAGTGAAATTCAGAAGTCTGGCAGAAGGAGATCTGGTATGGAAAGTAATTCTGCCACCTGGAAAGAAAGACCCCAGATTTGGGAAATGGTCTTCAAATTGGGAAGGACCATTTCGTATACATGAAGTGCTTAGAGAATGAGCATATTGGCTTGAATCATTAAATGGAGAGTTACATCCTCGAAAAATAAATGGAATCTACCTTAAGCCTTACTATCCTATGGTATGGGAGGCTAAGAGTTTAGATATCATTGATTCTACCTAAGACAGATTTGAGGTAGGACTTGTACAGTATTTTATTTTATTGTTTAGCATTTTATCATTCAATAAAAAGTGCTGAGCCGAATTGTAAGTTGGCCAAATCTGGCTGTTAACAACCACAACAGCCAGATTTCGGCCATGACAGATTTCAACCTGTACCAGAGTATGAACAACAAGTACAACAAGCAGATTTCCAGAATATGAGCCAAGAAAGAGATCAACATTGAAAAAGGAGTTTGCATGGCCAATAGGCCGCAAACAATAAGTTCAAACATGACGATGTGCAATTTCAACCAACAAAGAGACAAGGAGATACATAGAAGAAAAATCAACAAAGGTTGTTTTGCCAAGTGCTCCATTCTTCTCTCATGGTCTTGATTTCTTCAGCGGCTTCATCTGCAGAGGCTGTGAAAGAAGGTAGCTGCTCCTTGATCTTGGCAGTAGATTTCAAACTAGCTTCCATGTCTACGCGGAGCTTGTTTCTTTGATCCGCCAAATTCTTCTCAATTTGCTCCGCAATAGGAACTTGGTTTCTCAATTCTGAAAACTTGGCTTCAAGGTTGGAGATTTCTTCTTTAAGACCTTGGAGGTGTTTGACTTGTGTGACATGAGCCTCCTTTGCTGCCAAGAATTCTTCCTTTTTCTTGAAAACAGCGGCAGTGCTATCCGCTACAGATTGCCTCACAGATTCTGCAGCCGCTACTTTGCTTTCAAGCACCTGGAATTTCCTGTTGAAATGGGTATAGATGGTGGTGAAGTCTGCCCAAAACTTTTGCTGAATAGATGATAACTGTGGAGCCCGACTAAGGATTTGAGCCACTTCAAAGGCAGCTGGCTGGTCCGGCACTTTGCAGAAATGAAAAGGATCACCATGAAGGAGCTCTTGCATGGTCATAATCGCAAAACTAATCTGCTCCTGAGTAGGGAGGTTGATATCAAAATCCACTTCTTCAGCAACTGCCTTCCCTTTACTATCTGTGACAGATCCAGATTTAACCAGAGTATCCATCAACATGTCCAGCTGGGCAAGGAGTTCATTCTCCAAATCATCATCAATCATGGGCACATCAGCAGCAACACACTATAAAATGTGAAGACAAAAGATCAAAAATGGCAACTGGCAGATATGGTGACAGATTTCAAGATCTAAGCAGATTTCAGAACAGTAAAACAACCTCAATGTCATCAACATAAACATGCCTAGTAGGAGAAGCTACGGGTGTAGGGGTATTCTCTTTGTCAGGGCTTAGATCGATGAGTTCATTCGGTCTAACTGTTCTAAAGCTTTTGCTTGCTATGCGTGAAGAGAATCTAGAACCCCTAACCTTTGTGGTGGGTGAAGAACCATCGTCAGATTTGGTACGAGAGGAGCCAGAATTGCTTTCATCACCTTCAGCAGATATGTCTTCAATAGGAGCTTTTGTGGCAGTAGGACCGAGGGAAACATCTTCTGTTTTGTCAGGTTGCGTCTCGATTTCTGTGGCAGAAGAGGACCTCGAGGGAGAGGCAGACTTGATAAGTTTCTTGGCTGCAGATGGTTTTACTGCTGACCTCTTGATCCCTAAAAAAAAAAAAGTGTGAGTGTTAGCAGAAAACATGTCACAAAGTTGCAAGCCAAAGCGGATTTACCTCCGGTTCTTCGCTGCTTGGAGGGGGTATCTTCTTCCGTGGAATCTGTAGGAGCAGCAAATTTCCTTTTGATTTGAGTTTTGGGAGCTCTCCTTGGCAGATCTGGCTTGCTGATCTGGGCAGCCATGGCAGATTCCAAGTCCTCATTTTCCTTTGCAACTTGCTTGTCTTCAGATTTTTTGGTGAGTGGTGGAGGAGCTAGAATAGAAATATTCTCCATAACATCAAGGAACCGAGGATGAAAGTAGTTTCGCCACCAACTTTTGTAAGAGGAAGTGCAGCTTAGTTAAAATGGAGGGTCTGGTAAGATCAGTGTTTGCAGAGTGTTGGTGATGTCAGCAAGTTTGGTAACCAAAATCTTTGAATCCCCAATCATAAACCAAAGGGGATAGCTGTGGTTGAAGGAAAATAGTGACGGGAATGGTATGTCTTGGCAGTACCCTAACTGCCGACAGAATTGGTTCAGTGCATAAAGCTCCATGCCGCATTGGGAGTTGAGAGTGTTCAAACTACAGCCAACAAACAAATCCCGGGAGGTCACACAAACAGACCAAAATGCTTTGAAATATGGGGATCTAACATCGACCCTATACCATGAAGGACCGTGAGATCTGCCAAGAAACACAGCAAAGTCTGCATCGGGTTGGTCAACAAAAAGAGAAGCAAAAAACTTTAGGCACTCCTCAAAGCTCTTCTTGTTCTCCACGGCATTCTTGAACATGAAGCCGTAAGTAAGTAGGTCCCGGGCTGGAACAACGGAAGAGACAGGTGCGAGGGCTGGAAAATAAGAATACAACCACAACTGCAAAACCCAAAGCGGCCCACCACTAATAACTAAGGGGTGAGCCGTGATATCTTGGCAAATCCTATACAAATGAGCAAGCAAAAAAGGACCTAGAGCCATTTGTTTACCATGTGCTAAAGCAGCAGCTAAGGGAATAAACTTTTTAATGGGACCTTTACCAGCAGAGCAGACTATATATTTGCAGGTTAAAGTAAGCAGAAATGAAATATGCTCATCAGCACTAACAGGCTTACTCTTATCATAGGCAGACCTCACGAAAACTGGATAAGAGGGCTTCAACTCTGCATTGTACTCAACGCCTGGAGGCAAGGTTAATAATGCTTAAATTTCTTCTCCAGTACAGGGCAATCCAGTTAAGAGCTGACATAAAAAAAGCTCACAGACATGGCTCCACAAGGAAAATAAAAACAATTGAAAGAGCCAGACCAAAATAATAGAGCCGAACCCAAGACCGGCTTGTCCATGGTGCATCTGCATTTAGTGAGTTGTATAAACTCAAACAAACCCACATCTCTCCAAATTTGGCCAAAATCAGGTTCTAGGCGATCAATCCAGTCCACCCATTCCGATTTCCTCCAAACCGGCCAAGCTCCCAAAGAGCCAATCCATTTATTCCAGTCAGGTTTTACCTGAAAAGGGAGAAGATGTTCTTTGGGCTGTGGGTAAATGGAGGCAAGAGAGGCTGGCGGATGAGACACAAAATAAGGGCTCAAAATCTAAGATTTTTTGTGAGGAACAAAAGTTTGGTTTGAATGACATGGCTTCTGTTGTTGGAGTATCCTGTTCATATCATCTTAAAGATTTTGTTTTTGATAGAGTTTAACCAAATCTGGTGGAGGTGATCTCAAGCAGTGAGTGGCCTTTGAACCGGCCATGGAAGCAGATCCGGTTGGCATGGATTTTTCTTCTCGGTCACGAGCCATGGAAATAATTTTGGCAAGGGAAAGCTATTCGGTACTGGCCCACCGAATACAAGCCAGGCGGATCTACACATAAAAAAAAAAAAAGAGAGACAAGAAGGAGTTAGCCGACAATCACAAAGACAAGGAAGATGTCAGGTAGGGTCCATTGGACACAAGCAAAGCAAATTTTTGTAAATAAAGAGCAAAAAGAGTCAACCGGCAGCTACCTGTGGGGGAAGGAAGATTTTCGGTAGGGACCACTGAGTATGGGAGCAGATTTGGACAAGCAAAGGAAGAGAGTGCAGCTGGAAGTAGATCTGGAAATTTGAAAGAAGTGGGTGCTGTTTTGGGTGGATCTGAAAAAAAAAAAAAATGAAGGAAAGGGGCCGGTTGTGACTGGGAGAAGCTTAAATGTTACAAGATGGGTAGAAATATGGAAGCTATTTGGTGAATAGGACAAGCAAAGGAAGAGTGCAGCCGGCGGTAAAGCAAAGTAAAAATGAAAGGGGAAAGTCGGTGAAGTTGGCCCGTGGAGGTTGAAGAAGGTAAAGTAAAATTAGTTTTAATTTTCAAAGAGTCCCTGCCTTTGGGATTTGTTTTGAAAATTAATAGATTTTACTTAAAATGGAGGAGACATTTCAATGGGGCCACTGACGGTGAAAAAAAAAAAAGAAAAAGAAAAAGAAGAGTGCAGCCAGCAATTTGAGGTGTCCCGAGGTAGGTAAATTTAATTTTTAAATTTTCCTTACTTTTTGGGATTTTTTAAGTTGAAAAAGGGATTTAGAAGGAGGCAACCGGCGATAACCCAAAAGGAAAATAAAAAGAAAAGTAAGTTTGACTTTTCCTTACTTTATGGGTTTTGGAAAATTAAATGAATTTTGAAAGGAGTGGCTGGGGTTTATCTACAAAATTGCTTCGGGAGATATTTGTGAAGTTGCTTTTAAAGGGGATTTTACATGTGGCATGAGTAATTATGGTGTTGACGACCACTTAAGATTTTTTCAAAATAAATTGAAAAATTAAGTGTAAAAATAAATAAGAAAAAGGGAGTCGCCACTCGTCCAAATTATAAGGTGGGACAAGTCACCTAAAACAGGTATGCGCAGAGATCGAGGTTCGAGGGTTCGGTTAAGAGTGAATAAGGACATACGCGCACCTCACAATCTTCCGTTTAAACACGGTTGCATACTTTAAAATTAGGGTTTTAATTCAACTTACTTATTATATTTATGTTTGAGTCTTAATAAGCAAACTAAAAAAAAAAATTAAACCAAATTGAAACACTTTTTAATTTTTGGACTGAAAGAAACAAAATCAAGAACATGCATGCACAATAAACACAAGTAAAAATTAAGGGGACTAATTTGACTAAATTCGAAACATGAGGGATTAATTTG